GTATGCTACATGTATATATATAAAAGGATGATTTAAAATCTGAGAAAGAGTCAGGCTACCATCAAAACCATTCTTTGATAAAGTTTAAGTCTGGATGCATTTTACTTTTTCAAATTTCCTTTTTTAAACAGGTTGTCTTACAACCATAATGCAAGAGAAATCGCTCCATACAGTTTTTACACATACAGTTCTGATAGGAGAGAAAAGTTAAATACATCGAGTATTTTGGAGTCTAGAAAAAGTAATATAAACACCTAGCAACAGAATATGTCAGTCTGGTAAAGGGAAAAAAAACAAGGATTGTTTGAAAATAATAATAATAATAATAAAGCTTATCATCTTTGTAAATAGAAAATTAGATGAATCCATTAAATGGGTGAATCAATAACCCCACCCTCCAATAATCTTACAGTTAGAGGAAGTGGAGCAGTACCAGATCTGTGAAAGGTGGGGGGTAACATGGTTTTAGGCCACTTCCTGTGACCAAAGCCCCTGTTAGCAGCTGCTCAGTTGATTGTGTGAAACCTAATAGCTGTGATGTGGTTTGTTCTTCTTACCAGAAAGACTTTAACTCTGACCACAGCTTTCTATTACATCCGTCATCCGTCAATAAAAAGGGTTTCATTTGGAAGGTTTGATCTTTTTATTGCCCATTTGGTTTCCTCCTCTTGTAAGCTGGAGCAGTTTGGCAAATCAATAATATTAAGAGTTAAACCAGGCAATACTGGCATTTTGATTAAACAATGATTTTGTGAAAAATCCTAGCTTTTAAGAAGCTTCTTCAAACATATATTTCAGTAGAAGATATATTTTTCTGTATGTTCTGAGGAAATTATAACCAAGGTTCCAGTCTGCAGCATATGGTCTGTGATCATAGCAGAATGCAGTAATTTACTCTGCATTTATTAATCATAGGGTAAATAACTTGTCTCCCAGCGAGGTAAGGTTAGATTTGCAAGGTCAGCTCCTACATTGTTTCCCAGAGTTGGGGAATAAAATTAGTTTTTAGGTCTTTGGAACAAAATGTTTGGTGTTCATTATATGGTGTCCATTATATTAGAATAAAACATGGGGATTAGGTGAAATCTAAAGGCACTTGGTTTGTTTATTATGCAGCTGCTACTTTTCTTTTTATACTTAGTTTTTATTTTCGTACCTGAAACAACATTTAAATAAATAAAGTAGGGAGTTTCCCATCTGTGTAAAAACAGCTTTCGTTTTTTTAAAGCATCTGAAATTAAACGGCAGAAATCATGTGATGATCTTACCTGATGAGAGCCATATTGGGCGTTTCCTGAGGTTCTCCACTCTGAGAGGCACCGGTGGATTGGAGACTTGGATTAGAGGGGGAGAAAGCTCGAGGCAGGGTGGAGGAGCGGCGGGATGCACGGGGAACCAGGGTGGTGGAAGGATTCTGGACAGGGGAACTTTTCCCGTTTCGAAAAACGTGATGGGACTTTGCTCTGGCGTGATGAACAATGCTGCGGTTGCTACGGCGATGAGTCATCTTCCCAGCAGACCCTGTACCCGATCTCTTAATGGTTGGTTCACATCTTTAAACAGAAGCACAGAGAAGATTGTTTGATATAACTTCCCAATATTTGCTCACCAACAGAAAGACACCAGGCAGGGGAAACGCATCGAATACTGGATAATTAATGTAATAATGTGGAACAGCTTTTTATTAGTAAAAGTCAACTATAACTTTAATAAAAATACCTTTAGTGAAAGTCTAATAAAATCAAATCAAAAGGGAAAGTGTTCAAATAGGTTAGAATGAGTAGTTTACGTATAGATAAGGCAGCCAGGTCTAAAGTCGGTCCTGGAGGTTTAAGAGGTTTCCTGCTTCAGCAAAGCTGGTTTCAGATGTACTGAAGCTGAGAAACATTGGAGACCTGCAGGATTTTGGGCCTCGAGGACCAACTTATAACAAGCCTGGAATGGAGAGTGTTAGACCAAATTTTACATCATCATTTCTGATCTGGATAGAAGAGGAAAGAGGAAAAAGCTGTCAGCCGTCCACCTTTAAAATTTAGCTGAAAATGTCTCGTCTGCACTGAGGAGTTTAAAACAAGAACAATCTTCCACAGTCTGTTGCAGTGGAGGACCACCTGTACTCTTTGTTCAGTGAGAGGCAAGAGAAACATCAAAAATAGAAAAAGTAGAAATAACTAGAAGAAAACAAGAGTTTACATCAGCTCAACTTCTATCTGGGAAGAAACAGCCGGACTTTAAAACAGAGCAGACGTTTCAGGCTTTTAGATCAACAAGTAAGGTAACATAACAGAGATGTCTGATTTGCCGTTATATTAAAAACAGACCAGAGGAGGCAAATCGTTTGTTCCCAAGCAGAGGCAGTCAGTTTTTTGTTGTCCTACCCTGCATGACTAAAATAAGTACAGGTTTATTTATATAACACCTTTTCACAGACATTGGGGTCTCAAAGTGCTTTAGAAAAATGCAGAATCAAAAGAAAAAACAATAAAAAAAACACTGATGTTGAAGAGGCATGTCAGCTATGACAGCCCAACAACATTCAGAGCTCTAAACTCAGGACGGCTCTCATCCATCCTCAAAGCCTTTGCTACCATGGAGCTTTTTGACCAACTCAGTGACCGCATCCTAACTCCTATAATGAATTTCTCATGTTGGTCTTGTTTGCATAAATGGTGGCTTAAAATTTGTTAAAATGCAAACATAAAAGTCCTAAAATAAATCTGACCTACTGGTTGAATTTGCTTCCTGCCCCACAGTCTTTCTGATAAACAAATTAAACAAATATTCTCTTACTTCCACAGTAGTATATTTTAAGACTTTTGTGTTTTGTGTGTGAATTTCTGAAAAGACCCGCACTCTCCACTTAAAAAGAAATGCACATGCACAACCCTGTACCAGCTCCTGAGAGGGAACGTCTATTAAACGTATGCGAGAGCGTGCACAAGCCCATTTCTCTTCGTGCACGCTCTGTTTACAAGTTCCTGTTTGCATCACTTATACCAGCTTACTGTCCAAAAGAAGATTTGCAATTTTTCCACTGTCAGCCTCGCCACCGGTAAGTGAAAATGGGGACGAGCACGCAGGACGGCCTTACGTAAACACATCCCCAGAATGATTGCTAATTAGATTATTTAGATGATCCACCCGTAAAAAGAACATCCTCCACTATGCCTTTAAAATACTACTGTTCTTTTTTCACATAACGAAAGCAGAGAGAAAACCATAGTGATAAACAATTTTAAATTTTTTTATTTAGAGTTTTTTTGAGTGCAAAGCACCCAAAGCTTTTCCATCAACCAACATTTTAGAAACCCTCCCAGCGTACAGTCCCCATCATCCTTCCAAACACTGAAGCAAGATACACAGGAGACTGTCTGTTTCTTTTCTCTGGTCTAAAGCTAATTTGCTACACAATTACAATAATCCCTGTTGTGACCTCTGATGACCCACTGCATGCTTCAAATAACCTGATCCACTTGACACAAAGAGCAAAGCTGCAAGGAATTACAAGTATGCTTGAAACATGGGTGCAAACACGTGCATAGGACAGAGCGGGCGCAGACAATTAAACAGACCAACGACCAGCAAGGGCCTGATGGTTTCTAGCATGAGCCGTGTGATGATGGGACAAAGGAAACAACATTACAATGAGAGGATTAGAGGACTATTGAGAAATTCCGAATGCTGCTGGAAAAGGAGCCGAATTATCGCAAAGAAACGAGACAGGAAGACTTTCTGGCATAGTAGAAATATTTAACATTACTGGAAGAGTTTCATGCAGACATAAAGATGGTTCATGAGCATTTCAACATTGGTTCAAATGCATCTACTTGTATAATCAGCCTGATTTGCAAAAAAAGTGAGATTCATTAAGGACTCAGAAAAATGTTAAAATAAAAAAGGAGTGTGAAACAACAGATTTTGATAACCGGTGTGTTTAAATATATGGTCAAACCTCTGTTCTTACATTTTAAGCACATTTAAATTCCAAGTAGGATTCCTTTTTTATTAATAAAGAAAAAAAAAACTATTAACCCAAATAAGGAAAGGCCTTTGTGATGCCTTTCAGTTCAACTTTAAAGATGAGCAAACTGCTGTTAAAATCAAATGATGCCCCTTAACTCAGATTGAATCTTAGTGGAGACTTCAGAGAAAATATGATTTACAGGCCCGATAGCTGCAGGGAAACATCCCACATTGCCAGAATCTGGGACTGAGCTTCTTCAAGCAGAAAAAAGAAAGGTTATCGTGAAAGGTGAGACAGTCCTGTATAAATTACTGCTGGAGCTGGGAAAAGGATCATAAAATGTTAAGAACATGATTTATTGTATCATAAAAAAAATTAATGACAATGCACCTCAGAAAGGTTTAGTTTAGGTTTCAGCTGCTTGATGACTCTTGCTGAGTCCATATTTTTTTTACAGTAGATATCGACACTCGTAGAAAAAAAAACAGGAATCTGCTCGTATTAATAAGAATATGCAGCGGCTGAACCCAAAGGTAATTAAAAGGATGTTTTATGGGATCTTTTTGGAAATGGATTACAGCAGGTTTATTTGTATTTTTTCATGCTTGATATAGTTTGTTCTAACCTTTCAGTTTTCTCACTACCAGCAGGTTTTTTCCCAGTAGCAGGAGGTGAAGACATGCCACCGCTGCCCCCTTGTCCTTCAGCTTGGTGGCCACTACCTCTCTGCTTGCTTTGCCTTTTCATTCTTGCCTAGAAAATGAAAAAAAGCAAAAAATTTATTAGAAAATCTGGAATAAGTCCTTGTATGTCAGAGAAGAGATTATCGTCTATTCCATTCCAGCAGAGAGGCGTTTTTTCCTCAAAGTCAAATGGGTTTCTTGTAACTAAGTTTCCTGAGGAGTTTTTTTTTCTCTTGTCAAAAATAAACACAATTTACTTTAAAAATGATCTGACAATATATATTTATGACTTTCTTTGAGGGAGATGAAATTACATTGCTGTGGAATAAAAAGAAAAAAAACGTGATGCATTTCTGAGTTCGGTTAAGAGATATTCATGAATAGACAGCATGGTGAAGATGGAGAAACAGGAAAGTGGAAAAGCTTAAAGCAGGTTAGGTTATAAAAGAGAATCTAAGGCTTTGAATATCTCACAGCAGAGTTCAATCCATCATCCAAAAAGAAAAAGGCCCACATGTTAAAATGTAACTTCCACCTAAACTCACAGGAGAATAAAACAGGTTTGGAGCAAAGCTAATCCTGCACATCTCTATAGAAACAACTTTCCCATTGGGAAGAAAGAAAGACAGCATCTTGCTGCGAGAATGCAGAAGCTGGTAAAATTGATGGGAGGATTGCTGTCCTGTACAGTAGTAGCCATACAAGATTTCCCCACTTTCCTTGATGGGCCCTTGGCTGGTCCCCTACAATTCCTTTTTAAACATCAATCTTTATACTAAAATATTCTTTCTGTCATGGTTTGTGGAAATCAAGACCTAAAGAGAAGCGCCTTCTCCTGGACAGACCCTGTAATTCAGTGAAAGGGTGGAGTCAGAGTTAAAACAAAAAAAGCACGCCCAGGAGAAGGCTGGTGGTTGGAAGTTGGAGGGGATTTTGCAGGGAGCTGCAGGGGAGTAAGCTGCCATTCAGCTGGTGCTTGACTGGAAGGGGCAATTTTGAATGCCTGCTACTGTATATAGGGCCAAACAGGAAAATGTGAAATTTGACATTTAAATGACTTCCCTACGACTTTCACGTACATGAATCCCAGGTTTTACCAGTTAAAAGGTTTGAGTGCTGATTTTAGTCCTGCACTGGGTCGTAAATGTTCTGCTACCCATTGAGAATGAAACTTTATAATTAAGGGAATGGATACCTAAAGCTACAAAAAATGTACCTGGCATTGATTGATACCATGTAGAAATCAAATTAAACTACTCTTATAGATCTGGGAGGCTGCATGTAGAAAGTTTTTGCAAAAGGGAGGGACATTCAGGTCAATCCTTTGAACTGAATGTCTGGGTACCATCTTCCAATGTGTTTTTAGCCAATCAAATCAGCAGTAGCAGTAGGGCTGAAACAATTAATGGGATTAATCGTGATTAATCAATTACTGAAATAATTTTCAACTAATTTAGTAATCGATTAATTGTTAACTGGAGAATAGAGACTTTAAAACATGCCTTTAGCTGACAGGGCAACCCAGTTAGAGCAGCAATT